AGTCATTTTATGCCGGGGCCCTGTTGTTCCGCTAACTGTGAGAGCCTCAGAGTAGATATGGGTGTTCCTCAAATGCAGCGGAAAACACGCTTGGCTGGGAGCATGGCAGCTCTGGGCAAGTCTCTCTTTGGAGACCTCAGTTTTCTCATCTGCCTGAAGAGGTTGGGCTGGATAATCTCAGAGTCTCTTCCTGCTCTGAGAGTCTTTTATTATTTATTTATTTATTTTGAGATGGGGACTTGCTCTGTCTCCCAGGCTGGAGTGCAGTGACGCAGTCTCAGCTCACTGCAACCTCCACCTCCCAGGTTCAAATGATTCTCTTGCCTCAGCATCCCAAGTAGCTGGGATTACAGGAGTGCGCCACCATGCCTGGCTAATTTTTTCTTTTTTTTTGAGACGGAGTCTTGCTCTGTCATCCAGGCTGGAGTGCGATGGCACGATCTTGGCTCACTGCAACCTCCGCCTCCTGGGTTCAAGCAATTCTCCTGCCTCAGCCTCCTGAGTAGCTGGGATTACAGGCATGTGCCACGTGCCACCATACCTGGCTAATTTTTGCATTTTTAGCAGAGATGGGGTTTCACCATGTTGGTCAGGCTGGTCTCAAACTCCTGACCTCGTGATCTGCTGCGTCGGCCTCCCAAAGTACTGGGACTGCAGGTGTGAGCCACCACGCCCGGCCTTAATTTTTGTATTTGTAGTAGAAACAGGGTTTCTCCATAGTGCCCAGGCTGGTCTGGAATTCCTGACCTCAAGTGATCCACCCACCCCAGCCTCCCAAAGTGCAGGATTGTAGGCGTGAGCCACCATTCCCCGCCTGAGAGTCTGCTTTTAAAGGACAGTGCAGAGACAGAGCAGTAGGCAAAGGGATCTTTCAGGAACTCGTTCTCCTCATAACTCTGCATTGTCCCGCCTGTTCAGCAGGACTCAGTGAGGCCCCCTCCCTGGGAACAGTAGCCAGCCAGGGCTTTGGAATCAATGGATGCAGGCTCTCCAGCTGCGTGAACCCGGATAAGTCCCCGTAGCTCACTGGGCCCATTGGTTCAGCTGTGACACGGACCGCCTGTGTGTGGCCTGGGAGGCTGCTCAGCCCCTGGCGTTGGGACGATTTTCGTCAGTGCCGTTGACTTGTAGCTCAGCAAAGCCTGTACCTCCCTTGCCGTTTAATATTTGCAGACCCTGGAGAGAGAGCGCGCCAGCATCTCTGCTTTCCATTTGAGAAACTGAGGCTGGAGAGGATAAGGAAACTGGCCAGTGGTGATTTAGCTCCTAAGGGCAGGGAGGGCCAGGGCTTGGAAGGGTCGGTCTGGCTCCTTAAGGAGGCAGAGGGGAGGAAAACAGCCTGTAACTTTGGCGCATCCTGGGAGAAAAGGACCTGCCCGCCACATTCCTCCCTCCCCAGGGACACTGTCTCTGTGGGCTCCAGGACACCTTTGCCCTCTCAGAGTGGAAACCAAGATGGGAAAGAGGCGGGGCGCCAGGTCTGTATTCCCGCAGCAGCAGGACCTCCTGAAGGCCACACCAGGCCCCCCGGCACCTCGGGGAGCTGTGGATCGCTGCTCAGTGTCCCCAGTGTGAAGCTTCAGCAAAAGCGAAATCGCCGTGAAACCAAACCATGCATCGAGATTAGGATATGCAGAAGCCTTATGGCTGTGGACAGAGTTTTAATCACCATTTAAGTGGATCAGCGGATTCTTCTGTAAATCTTGGAATAAAGCTAAAGCACACTCGATACCATGTTCACCTGAAAATCTTCCGACAGAGAGACGTTCGCAGGGGGCCGTGGAGCGCAGCAGGAGGAGCAGAGATGGAAGCCCAGGCCGGGCTGGCCTCCCCGGGCCAGCCCTCGGTTACGGGACCTTGAGCTGGTCACCTGGCCTCTCCCAGTGTCGTCCTCTGATCTCTAACTTGGGCTCATGAAATGATGGTGGAAATGAGGCAGATGATACACACGTGGAGGAAAGCCTTCACTCTCAGCCCGGTGGGTTTCGGTCGGGCTCTTTCCATCATGACCGAGTCTTCCGTTACCTGTTACCGCTTCACAGATTCCCAGGACTTAGCAGTTTCCAACAGCAACCACGTTACATGGCTCCTGGTGTTTGTGGAATTTGGGCAGAACTCGGCCAGGTGAGTTTGCCCGTGGGGCGTTGGCAGAGGGCACGTGGTGGTGTCCAGCTGGTGGCTGGCCAGGATCATCCAAGACATGCCTCATGATCCTGCACCTCTGACCTCAGTGGGGACTGTTGGCCGGAGCACCTGCCCGCAGTGTCCCCGGCGTGACGTTCCCAGGATAGCTGCGTTTCGTCCAGGGCAGCTCGGGGCTTCCAGCGCAAAGGTTCCCGAGATCACAGGTGGGAAGAGTCAGTCTCTTTAGGATGGGAGAGAAGGACCTGGCCCAGAAACTGAACCGTTGCTTCTGTCAAATTCTGTTGATCCAGACAGGGTCCTGGGGACCTGTGACTGCTGTCAAAGTGGCTTAAAGCAACACATATTTATTTTCTTGTGATTCCAGAGGTCGCAAGTCCTGAAATCAGAATCTCGGCAGGGCTGCATTTTTTCTGGAGGCTCTGGAGGGTATCTGTTTGTCTTCCAGTTTCCAGAGGCGCCTATGCTCCTTGGCTCCCGGCCCTCCCTTCCATCTTTTTCTTAGCACATCACTCTGGCCCAGCTTCCCTTGTTACATCCCCTCTCCTTTCTGCTCACAAGATCCTCTGCAAGGATCTTTGTGATTCTGTCAGGTATCTTAATCTGTTCCGGTTGCTATGACAAAGTACCATAAATGGAGTGGCTTATAAACAACAGAGATTTATGAGCTGGAGGCTGGGAAGTCTGTGTGCCACCAGATTCGGGCAAGTAACTGTAGCTCGCTGGGCCCATTTGTTCAGCTGTGACGTGGACCGCCTCTGTGTGGCCTGGTTGGAATGATTTTCGTCAGTGCTGTTGGCTCGCCGCTCAAGGAAGCCGGCACATCCCTTTTCATGCTGAGGATTCGGTGTAGGATGAGGACCTGCTTGCTGGTTCATAGATGGTGCCTCCTAGCCGCGTCCTCATGTGGAGAAAGGGGAAGCTCTCTGGGGTTGCTTTTAAAAGCGCGCTAGGCCGGGCACGGTGGATCACGCCTGTAATCTGGCACTTTGGGAGGCGGAGGCAGGTAGATCACGAGGTTAAGAGATCGAGACCACCCTGGCTAACACGATGAAACCCCGTCTCTACTAAAAATACAAAAAATTAGCCAGGCATGGTGGCGGCGCCTGTAGTCCCAGCTACTCAGGAGGCTGAGGCAGGAGTATGGCGTGAACCCAGGAGGCAGAGGTTGCAGTGAGCAGAGATCGCGCCACTGCACTCCAGCCCGGGTGACAGAGCAAGACTCCATCTCAAAAAAAAAAAAAATAAATTAAAAATAAAGGAGCACTAATCACATTCTCAGTGACCCAGTCCCCTCACACAGGCCCACCTCCTAATGCCATCACTTTGGGGGTTACAATTTCAGCTTAGGAAATTTGACGGGGCCTAAACATTCCAACCATAGGATCGAGCCTCCCCATATAGTCCTGGTCAGTCTCCCATCTCTGGAGCCTCATTTTACCTGAGCATGGTGACACACACATATAATCCCAGGGAGGTGCCTGGGCAACATAGGGGAACCCTGCCTCAAAAAATAAGTAAATAAAAAGATAAAAAACAAGATCCTCAATTTAATTATACCTACAGAATCCCTTTTGCCATAGGTTGTCATAAGTGCTTAGGATTAGGACATGGATTTCTTTGGGGGCCATTATTCTGCCCACCACGGTGACCAGTGATGATTCTTCACACTGTGGGACCCTGGGCAGGTTCTGTCCATGTCCTGAGCCTCAGTTTCCTCATCTGTAAATTGGTTTTTTCTTTTTTTTTTATTTTGAGACAACGTCTTGCTCTGTTGCCCAGGCTGGAGTACAGTGGCACGATCTCAGCTCACTGCAGTTTCCGCCTCCCGGGTTCAAGCAATCCTCCTGCCTCAGCCTCCCAAGTAGCTGGGACTACAGGTGCCCACCACCATGCTCACCTAATTTTTGTATTTTTAGTAGAGACAGGGTTTCATCATGTTGGCCAGGCTGATCTCGAATTCCTGACTCCTCAAGTGATCCACCCGCCTCGGCCTCCCAAAGTGCTGGGATTACAGGTGTGAGCCACCGCACCCGGCCTATTTTATTTTATTTTTTTGAGATGAGTCTTGCTCTATTGCCCAGGCTGGAGTGCAGTGGCGCGATCTCAGCTCACTGCAACCTCCACCTCATGGGTTCAAGTGAGTCCCCTGCCTCAGCCTGGAGAGTGGCTGAGATTACAGGTGTACACCATCAGGCCCGGCTAACTTGTATTTTTGGTAGAGACAGGATTTCACCATGTTGGCCAGGCTAGTCTTGAACCCCTGGGCTCAACTGATCCATCTGCCTTGGCCTCCCAAACTGCTGGGATTACAGGTGTGTGCCACTGTGCCTGGCCAACATTTCTTTATGTGAATCTCTGTCTCAAAATAGCACAGTAAGAGACAGGTTAACCCAGATAACATACTGGGTTTTTGTCAACTATGTTTTTTAACTGAATTGGCATCCAGTCCTGGGCTTCATGTTCTACCCTCACAGCCAAGCCATCTCATACTGCTGGGACTTCCCAGTATGGCTCACCTGTGTAGAATGCCTTTCTCTCTTTTGTCCTCTGGCAGGCTCCTACTCATCCCTCAGAACCCAGCTCTGAAGTTGCCCCCTGGGGAAGCCCTCCCCAACCCCCAGGTCTTCCCTGTATCATAAATATCCCTCTCGTGGAGTTCTCAAATGCTGCACTATCATTTTATTATTCGGCCTCCAGACTTTCTGCTTCCTGAGGGCAGAGCCTGCCTCTGTCTTCCTGGATGGTGCCTGGGTCCTGTGTTTTCACAGGGGTGTGGAGAGGACCAGCGCCTCTTCTCATTATGATCACCCATCAAACTCAGGTAAAAACTGCCCCTTTCTTTTCTCTTTTCTCAGCCTCAAAGACAAAAATCAAGGCGAACTCATCCCCCCCGTGCTGAGGTTCACAGTGACGTACCTGAGACAGAAAGGTGAGACAGGGCCGGCTCCAGCTGGGTGATGTGAGGGCTGCTGGGTGCACCTCTCTGGGTGGTTTGTCTTGGATCCTGAGCACCCATAAGCCAGGGGGTGTGACCAGGAAGGGAGGGGCTCAAGCACAGTGGCTCCAGGTCTGGGCTCTGCTCTTGGATGGTCTGGGTTTGAATCCTGTCTCCCCCGTGTACTAGCTGTGTGACCTGGGGCCAGTTACTCACCCTCTCTGGGCCTCCATTCCCTTGTCTGTCCAGTAAGGTTAATAACAAACAGTACCTAACTTGCAGGATTGTTGTGACCCCTAAATGAGACAGCGCTACAAAGCACTTCGGGCAGTGCTGGTCTATAGGAAGCCTTCTGGAAATGGGGGCTCCTCTGATGGGATCAACTTTGATTTGCAGACACCATTGCCAGTGGGGTGGGTGCAGTCGGGACCTTGAAGTGGGGTGAGCCTTGTGGGCGCTCCACAGCTCCTGAGGCTAGAACTGAGGTCCGTGGAGAAGGTGTGTGGAGGCTGCTTTCCTACCTTAATGGGAGTAAAGAGGTTCCCACGGAGGAGCAGGCACCGGGGAGGCTTATCTGGCACCAGGGGTGCAGGTGTGCTCGGTGGGCCAGGTGGTCTCCAGCGTGGGTGCTGCAGTGCAGCTGTGTGGGCGTCAGACAGGAAGTGAGCGCCTCCCGCATCGCCACCGCCCAGACAGGGCTGGCTCCCTCCAGCCTCCAGAGCCCAGCTCAGTGGTTGCTTCCTCAGGGAATTCCCCCAACATAGCCAAAGCCCCTAAAGCAGACCCCAGCTCTGCCACGGACGCAGCACCATGGGCCCCCGAGACCCCACCACCCTGTGGTCCGTGTCTCATGTTCCATCCGGCGGGGAGTTCCCGTGCAGTGGCTCTGAAAGCACCGCCTCGGCCCTGCACCTTCTGGTTGCGAGTGGGCTGGTTTCCTCTTTGGAGCAGGCCCGGTGGGTGGTCTTTGAAAAACCTGCTTCAGACAGGCGGGGCCTGGAGAGCCCATCCTCACCTGTAGGACAGGGTGCCTAGGAAATGCGCTTTGGCACGAGAGTCTGTGCACACGGGGATGGCATCAGTGAGCAGGTGTGCTGGGCGGGGGCATGGGTGGGCCATCTCCCTCACACCCCAGACCTTGTGGCCCCAGTATTTCCCTGAGCCACGATGCTCGGCTGGCAGGTGACAGGTACGGGGGGCATCCCACACTGGGACCCCAAGGGGCCCGCCTGTCCCCGGCCTGGACAGCCCCTCCTTGCCCTCTGCCAGTTAGGTCCTGCTTTCTGTAAGCCCTCTCCAATTCTGCCCCTCTCCTGGACAGAACTGCCTTCTTCATGTGCCCCCATCATTCAGTCCCTCACTCGGGAGACATTTGCTGGGTGCCTCCCTCGTGCCAGACTCTGGGGATATGAAAGTGAGCACACGGGACGTGGAAGAAGCACCTGTTCCGCCAAGAGCTACCCAGATGCTGACTCCGTCAGGGAGGAGGCCCTGCCAGACCAGGGTCCCTGTTAGGGGGTTTGACCTTGTTGGGGGGCTTCCCTGAGGGAGGGGCAGTAGAGCTGAGCTCTGAGGACGGGGAGAAGCTGGCCATGCCGGGGGACAGGCCCCAGAGAGGAGAGCAGGTGCAGAGGCCCATGGCTGTGGGAGTGCAGGAGCGTGTGGGGCTTGGAGGAAGCTGAGAGGAGAAGGGGAGGTCAGGCCTTGCAAGTCCCAAGAAGACTTGTACCTCCAGATGCCTGGGCCACAGTCCTAGGTCCTGGTGTTCCGGGGTACCCCTGTCATCCACTGCAGGCCCCCCAAGGGTAGGCTCAGGCCTGTTTCTCTTCCTGGCTCTGGAGCCAGCAGGGGCCTGGCCGGAGGAAACCCTTCCCTCCACCCCAGGGCTGCTTTCATAAGCCAGTTACAAGTGCTGAAAACTCTCTTTATAAACCAGCCATGGAGACAAGTTTTCTTCTTTGATTACAATCACCTCTTTAGCAGAATCGCCTAATAGAACTTGGACATCATCTGTATCTTCACTGTCTAAACGGCAGCCACCAGCCCCTGTGGCAGTAGCCCAATAGGGCAGGTCATATGAGGTTCATGCAATTGAGTGACTAGATTTTTAATTTTATTTAATTTTAATTAAAGTTCAGTCCTCATGTACAGCTACTGGCTGCTGTGCTGGACAGCTCAGCCCTAGCCCTTGTGGGAAGCCACATGTCTGGAGGCCTCCCGGGTGCCAGGCACGTGCTGGGCATCAGCGTGTCCAGTCCTCTCTGCAGCCCTCGGAGACAGGAGCTCATGGCCTTACTCTGTAGATAAACAAGGCAGATAGGCTCAGAGAGGCTGAGTGCTTTCTCTGAGGTCACACAGCTGGCAGGCAGAGCTGGACTAGAGCCTAGGTCTGTCTGAGTTTAGAATCTGTTTCTGCTTTCCCTTTCCACGGACCACAGAGGTGGGAAATCGGGCGGGTTGGGGAATATGGGAAAGATCTGAGGAACAAATGAATTTGTGGAGGCCAGCCACAGGTGGGTGATGCCGTGGGCAAGGGGGTGTCATATAACGTCCTGGAAGCCCAGTGGGCTGGGACCTGTGAGACACCCGGAAGCTCCTCTCCTGCAGGCCTGCACACCGAGGGCCTGTTCCGGAGATCCGCCAGCGTGCAGACCGTCCGCGAGATCCAGAGGCTCTACAACCAAGGTGAGGCTGTCCCACAGTCCTGAGCCCCGAGCTGTCTGGCCAGCGAGCACAGCACTCCGGGCCTCAGAGCAGAGGCAGGGAAGCACCGCCCCCACAACCCATCCAACTCCCAGAAAACACTCAGGGTGGGGGCAGCTGCCCAGGAGCCATCGAGGGGCCCACTGGTAGTCCAGAGTAGGGACCCTTTGTCCAGACCCCCAACCCTGCTGGGACATGGTGGCCGCACGATGCCATTTTGCCTTTAGGGGCTCTCCATCTGCACCAGGTGGGCACGTGCTTTCAGGAGACACCCTGCAGTGCAGGGCAGCTGGTTTTTTATCTGGCAGCTCCCCCGAACTGGCTCAGCACGGCTTCCTTAACTGCCATGTGTAACCTGCGGGCAGGGGCAGTGGCCTCTGAGCTGAGGGCACATCACACTGATACTAACGAAGCCGCTGACAAGACTTGCCCTCGATCCAACTCGCTCCCGCGACCAGTTGTGCATCACACAAAAATGGAGCATTGGGTCCGCACTGGGCCGAGCTCAGGCCTGCCTGTCTCAGGCCCGGGGCCTGCAGTGTCATCTCTGCCATGGCCCTGACCTCAGAGAGCTGGCATTGTAGCTGGGAGCAACAGCACACCACAGAGAAGCCAGCAGCCCACCCCATCCTCCACTGGGAGCCCAGGAGGAGGCAGTGAGGGCAGTGTAGGGGCTGATGGGGCCAGAGCACCCCATTTGTAGGTGGGGACAGCATCAGGCACTTCCCATCCGGACATCTCACGCCCTGTCTCAGAGCTCGTTCTATAGCCGCAGTGCCCAGGCCGGGGTGCAGACCTCAGCAGTGCCATGTTCTGTGTGCAGGGAAGCCTGTGAACTTTGACGACTACGGGGACATTCACATCCCTGCGGTGATCCTGAAGACCTTCCTGCGAGAGCTGCCGCAGCCGCTTCTGACCTTCCAGGCCTACGAGCAGATTCTCGGGATCACTTGTGCGTAGCTGCCCCGGGGCGGGAGTTGGGGGGTTGGTCCTCAGATGCTGTCCCCCAGCTACTGGCCCAGGGTCAGGCTCTGGGGTGGCCTAGGTGGCGTGTCCCCACCCTCATTCTGTTGCCACCTGGCACTGCAGGGCAAGAGAGGGGGTCGTTGGGGCTGCCCCACCGTGGACAGACAGGCCACACTGTCCAAAGGCAGAGCAGGTGCGGTCGGTCAGGGTTGTTCAGGCCGGTCTCTCAGGCGCAGCTGGGCCGGGAGGCAGGGTGATGGGGGGCTTTCTAGATCTGGGGCTCATCATCCTGGTCAAAGTCCTGCCTATACCACCTCCCAGCCCCCAAACCCTCAGCTCTCTCATCTAGAAAGGGGCTCTCAGCATTTCTCCCCCAGTCATTGTAGGATGCCAAGCATATGTGATAGGAACTGAGCAGCTATAGGGTCTGATCCTACAGATGCTTTGTGATCGGTCACATGCTCAGTGTGGCTGAGCACAGATGACTCGTGAACAACTCCATAATAGTATCTCAAAATACTGGCGAATGCTAAGGAAAGTGATGCCTCCAAAGCACCATAAAACCACTCAGGCCTTCATCTCAGTCATCAAACACCGTCTTTTCAAATGGGACTACCTCTGGTCCCCACCTTTCTTGTTGGAGCACTATCAGTCGAAGGGGGAAACCTGGTTTTGGTGTTAATTCTAAAGCAGCTGGGTTAAGATATTTTAAAGATAAATCTTGAATCTTAAAATCAATGTTTCTGGCCGGGCGCAGTGGCTCACGCCTGTTATCCCAGCACTTTGGGAGGCTGAGGCAGGCGGATCACCTGAGGTCAGGAGTTCGAGACCAGCCTCAACGTGGAGAAACCCCGTCTCTATAAAAATATAAAATTAGCTGGGTGTGGTGGTGCATGCCTGTAATCCCAGCTACTTGGGAGGCTGAGGCAGCAGAATTGCTTGAACCTGGGAGGCAGAGGTTGTGGTGAGCCGAGATCGTGCCATTACACTCTAGCCTAGGCAACAAGAGCGAAACTCTGTCTCAAAAAAAAAAAAATGTTTCTACCCCACTGGGTATTCATGTATTCAAGAATCGCCTTTACCCAAAGGGCAGCCTGGCCTTTGTCCTGGCCCCTGGGGGGTGACTTCTGAACCTTGGAATTTCCCAAAGGACAGGAATTATCTTTGTTATTTATCGGGGGCCCTGATGGTTTATGGTGACTCGGGGTGGCCACTCCAGAAAGGTCAATTACACAGTTAGAGGGTGCAGGCTTTGAGACACGGGAGACCAGCCTGACCTCTGGGGAGGGCCGGGGGCTGGAGATTGATTTCAATCACAAGGCATCCCTCCAAGGTCACTGGACGCCAAACTCCCCTCAAAGGCAAGTGTACACCCATTTACTCAGCAGTGGTCCTAAGTGCCTGCCAGATGCCAGGCCCTGTCTGAGATGGGGAAGGTCTCTCCTACAGCCTGGAAGACTATGAAAGATGTTGAGGGCTGACTGACTTTGGCTAGTGGATGGGAAGCCTGGGAGAGTTCAGAGCCAAGCTGAGCCTCATGGAGACAAATTTGATCATGTGTGTAGAGGTAGCTATCTGGTGGCGACAGAGAAGGAGGCACTCCGTTCAGCATCCTCCCACCAGCCGGGCCCAGGGCAGGCAAGATGGACAATGCTCCATCACCTGAATGTGCCAGGCTCTGTCCTAGAGAGAAACTTCCAGAAGCTTCCAGATTTCATTAGCCCCTGCAGAGGGATGATGACTGCAGCCTCTGTAGGTTCCTGCTTGAGAAAACTCAATGCTACCAGGAGAACTTACTTTTTCTTCCAGCCACAACCTGGTGACAGGGAGATAGGCCCTGGAACCCCTCTTTGAGCAGCAGTTTGTTTAGAAAGCTTGCAGTTGTGGGCCAGGCACAGTGGCTCGTGCCTGTAATCCCAGCACTTTGAGAGGCTGAGCCATATTTGGAATGGTGGTGTTCTGGACCGCAGCATTCCCCCGTCTGAAACTTTCCCCAGGAAGTTTTACAGTCCAGAAACATAGTTGGTAGATTGTCTCATGCTGCATGAATCCTTCTGTCAGTGCTGTGACTAGATCACTCCAGGTAAACAGTTGTGTCTCATTTCAGAAGGTAGTGGTGGAGGTGGGAGTAGGGTGACTACCTAAGTCAGCCTGTTAATAAGGGGCCTTTCTATGTCAACAAACGTGAAGTTCAGTGGTTTGAACAAACCATAAACTCTGGGGTTTTTTGTTGTTTTTTGTTTTGTTTTTGAGATGGAGTCTCTGTCACCCAGGCTGCAGTTCAGTGGCACAATCTCGGCTCACTGCAACCTCCACCTCCCAGGTTCAAGCAATTCTCCTGCCTCAGCCTCCCGAGTAGCTGGGACTACAGGTGTGTGGCACCACGCCCAGCTAAATTTTTGTATTTTTAGGAGAGAGAGGGTTTCACCGTGTTAGCCAGGATGGTCTCAAGCTCCCGACCTCGTGATCCGCCCGCCTTGGCCTCCCAAACTGCTGGGATTACAGGCGTGAGCCACCGTGTCTGGCCTAAACTCTATTTTTTCAGTCAAGAGAACATTTAGTTGAGAAGATTCCTAGATGTTGGCTTGAAGTATCTTTTCATGGTAGAGTGAGAGTGGCGGCAGCCGGCCAGTGAATTTCATAGTGTGCAATTTAGATGTCTTTGGTGATGGCACTGGGTGTTCCGGTGAACTTTCTGAGCGGCCTGTACAGCAGGAGGCACAAGGATTATCTGTACATCGTCTGCTGCGATGATTTCTTTGAAGTTTGTATCAAGTCTTCCAGCGTCAGCTTTCGGGCTTTGGGGAAGTGGCAGGTTTTAGGTCTTTGTCATGCCAACTGAGGGGGCAGGAGCAAAACTGGAAATGTTAGCTTGGAGCATTGTAGCCAGATATTGGAGGAAATGAGAGGAACTGAGAACTCGCAAGCGTGCACCATAGTTTTCCGCTGGAGCATCATTTCTCCATACGGTGCTTCTCTTTTGATTCTCAATTACAAAATAAGTCTGGTCTCACTAGATTTGGCCTGATTATTTACATAAGGGCAGCAAGAATGAGTCTACCTTGTTAGAACTTTTAATACAGCATCTCAGATTCACTTTTTAAAAGCCTCTTGAGGCTAGAAAGCCAAGCCAAAAATTTGCCATCAGGGCCAGGTGTGGTGGCTCACTCCTGTAATCCTAGCACTTTGGGAGACCGAGGTGGGCGGATCACCTGAGGTCGGGAGTTCAAGACCAGCCTGACCAACATGGAGAACTCCCATCTCTACTAAAAATACAAAATTAGCCGGGTGTGGTGGCTCACACCTATAATCCCAGCTATTCAGGAGGCTGAGGCAGGAGAATCGCTTGAAATCCAGGAGGCGGAGGTTGCAGTGAGCCGAGATCTCGCTATTGCACTCCAGCCTGGGCAACAGCAAGACTCCGTCTCAAAAAAAAAAAGAAAAAAAAAATTTGCCATCAGACTTTGCCTGTAGTATCCTTAGATTTGAGTGAATTTCTCTCTTCTCCAGGTTCTCAATCAATATATTTTAAGTTTCCTGGGCCTGCCAGGAAGTGGCCTTCCTTACTCACTGTAATGCCATACATAACACTGAATAAGGCTAGTCATCATTTCAAGGAATTTCCCTCATTTTTTTTTTCAAGATGGAGTCTTGCTTTGTGGCCCAGGCTGGAGTGCAGTGGCCTGATCTCAGCTTATTACAACCTCTGCCTCCCATGCTCAAGCAATCCATCTACCTTAGCCTCCCGAATAGCGGGGATTACAGGTGTGTGCCACCACACCCAGCTAATTGTTATATTTTTAGTAGAGACAGGATTTCACCATGTCATCCAGGCTGGTCTCGAACTCTGACCTCAACCTCCCAAAGTGCTGGGATTATAGGCATGAGCCACTGCACCCGGCCCTTATTATCTATTTTTAACCCTACTTCACTAGTAAACCCAGCTACATAAAAATGTATGCTTGGATTATACTTAATATGAATAATTCAGAAGATGCAGCTGGTTTTTTTGTTTTTGTTTTGAGACGGAGTCTCGCTCTGTCGCCCAGGCTAGCGTGCAATGGCGCCATCTCAGCTCACTGCAACCTCCGCCTCCCGAGTTCAAGCAATCCTCCCACCTCAAGCGATTCTCCCACGTCTGCCTCCCGAGTAGCTGGGATTATAGGCACCGGCCGTCTTGCCTGGCTAAGTTTTGTAGAGACGGGGTTTCACCATGTTGGCCAGGCTTGTCTTGAGCTCCTGACCTCAGGTGATCTGCCCTCCTTGGCCTCCCAAAGTGCTGGGATTATAGGCGTGAGCCACCGTGCCCAACCTATACAGCTGTTTTTAATAAACGAACAATATCAGACTAATCTTGTCAGTTACTCAAGTCACATGAACTTGAATATTTGGCTTAGTTTCTATATTTCTGAGCGTTTTAGAAATATTTTATATAAATGCTCATGTCTCTCTAAGCCAATTTGAATAGAACTCCTTTAAGGGATTTTATAAATTAAGTTGGTAATACCATCAGAGGGAGAAAATTTTCATGTATACATAACATGCATATCTGCAAACAATTTTTTTTTAAGACAGGGTCTCCTTCTGTCACTCAGGCTGGAGTACAGTGGCTTGATCTTGGCTCACTACATCCTTGACCTCTGGGCTCAAGCAATCCTCCCACCTCAGCCTCTCAAGTAGCTGAGTCAGGCACTACCACACCCAGCTAATTTTTAAATATTTTTTTGCAAAGACAGGGTCTCACCATGTTGCCCAGGCTGGTTTCAAACTCCTGGGCTCAAGTGATCTCCTCCACCTCAGCCTCCCAAAGTGCTGGGATGACAGGTGTGAGCCACTATGCCTGGCCACAAACCAAGATCTTAGAACTTTCATACATAGTTTCATACCAGTTAAGATTACCTGTTGAGGGTGAAAGTTGTTATCAATATTTCAGGAGAAGGCCCTAAAGATTTTTTTCTTTGCCCAGATTATTTCCAAATAGTCCTTTTTACCTTGTTTTTTTTTGTTTTGTTTTGACCAAAGGTGTACCTAATTCAATGTGACTCGTAAACCATAAGCCTTTTTGTGGCCATGGATACAAGAGATGTTCTCAGAGTCCCCCAGGATCCCAAGTTACCCCACAGATAGATAGCTAAAAGACAAACAAGCGCCCCAGAGCTGGTGATGGCTGGTACCCCAAGATCCAAAGTTATCCCACAGATAGCCAAAAGACAGACAAGTACCCCAGAGCTGGTAATGGCTGGTACCCGAAGACCCAAAGTTATCCCACAGCCAAAAGAGACTTGACAAGCACCCCAGAGCTGGTGATGGCTGGTACCCCAAGATCCAGTTACCCTACAGATAGCCAAAAGAAAGACAAGCGTCCCAGAGCTGGTGATGATTGGTACCCCAAGATCCAAAGTTATCCCACAGGTGGCCAAAAGAAAGACTTAGACAAGCACCCCAGACCTGGTGATAGCTGGTACCCCAAGTTACCCCACAGCCAAAAGACAAGCACCCCAGAGCTGGTGACAGCTGGTACCCCAGATCCAAAGTTACCCCACAGATAGCCAAAAGAAAGACAGGCACCCCAGAGTTGGTGATGGCTGGTACCCCAAGACCTAAAGTTACCCCACAGATAGCCAAAAGATGGACAAGCACTCCAGAGCTGGTGGCAGCTGGTAGGATGTCGGCTGTCACCGAGTTTGCGTTGCTGTAAAGAAATACCTGAGGCTGGGTGATTTATAAAGAAGGTTCGTTGGCTCATGGTTTTGTAGGCTTTGTAGGAAGCATGGTGTTGGCTCTGCTTGGCTTCGGGGAGGCCTCAGAAAGCTTTCAATCCTGGCAGAGGAGGAGCAGGCGCCTCACACAGTGTGAGGGGGAGCGAGACGGGGTGAGGTCATGCCCCACACTTAACGTGATCTCTTGAGAAATCACTATCGAGAACAGCACCAAGAGGTCGCGATAACCATTTATGGGAAATCTGCCCCCTTGATTTCATTACCCCTCACCAGTCCCACCTCTAACATTGGTGATTACAATTCAACATGAGGTTTAGAGGCAACACCTTCCAACATATCAGAATGCAACTCACATTTCTGTCTGGCCAGATATAAAATTCCCTTTTTTTTTTTTGAGACGGAGTCTCACTCTGTTGCCCAGGCCAGAGTGCAGTGGCCGAGATTCTCTTCTCACTATAAACTCTGCCTCCCAGGTTCAAGTGATTCTCCTGCCTCAGGCTCCCAAGTAGCTGGGATTACAGGCACCTGCCACCACACCCGGCTAATTTTTGTATTTTTTTTAGTAGAGACGGGGTTTCACCATGTTGGCTAGGCTGGTCTCGAACTCCTGATCTTAGGTGATCCATCCGTCTCGGCCTCCCAAAGTGCTGGAATTAAAGGCGTGAGCCACCAGGCCCGGCCTGTAAACTCTTGGGGCTGCATCCTGGCTGTTGACTGTTCCTCCAGGCATTTGGAAGCCAAACTGGCCATAAGGGCAAGTTCTCAGGACACAAGACAAAAGGAGAATCTTACCCCATGATTCTCCTCCTCACAACAAATGACCCAAGAGACAGAGACAAAGGCAAACAGTGACTCTTCCTGGGAGGCTGAGATCACCGAGGAGTCCTCGAAATCAGATTCATGAAAGTCACAAGCCAAAGAACCCATTCTTCTGAATGTTGTTCTGCTGGTTCAAATTCAGAAAGGAAGAAGACAAAGAGACTTTGACCACCCTCACACAGTTGGGCACTGCAGACAGAAATCCGGGAGGCTGACTTGAGTAAGAATTTTTTTTTTTTTTTTGAGATGGAGTTTTGCTCTTGTTACCCAGGCTGGAGTGCAGTGGTGCAGTCTCAGCTCACTGCAACCTCTGCCTCCGGGGTTCAAATGACTCTCTTGCCTCAGCCTCCCCAGTAGCTGGGATTACAGGTATGCACCACCACACCCGGCTAATTTTGTATTTGTAGTAGAGACAGGGTTTCTCCATGTTAGGCTGGGCTGAAACTCCTGACCTCAGGTGATCCACCCACCTCAGCCTCCCAAAGTGCTGGAATTATAGGTATGGGCCACCACGACCAGCATTGAGTAAGAATTCTTACCTTTGGCCGGCTCTACCAGGGGTCCTGGCTCTCCGTGCAGCTCCCAGACCGAGCGAGGTGTTCCAGCCAAGGGTACCTCATCCCCATGGCTAGAAAGAAACCACAGGGAGGGTCAAAATGTTTTCCTTCTACCCATCTTAGGTTCCCTGGTGGGGGCCCTGTTGCTTGGACTGACAAAAGAGAGATGCACAAGAGAAAAACACACCAGTGTATTTACTAGAAGTTGTATATGACGTGGGTGACTGCAGAAGGAAATGAAGGCCCGGAGACCTGGTCCCCTCAGTGTGCAGACGCCAGGTTGGCTGAAGAGTGGAGAGGTGTGGGAAATGCGATGGAGAGAAGGGTCTGAGCCTGGGGCAAGAAACTAGGGGAAATGCCATCTTCAGATGGGAGGCTGCCCCTTCCCTCTGGGTATAGGGAAGTTGCCTTTCATGGGATGGTCTCATGGCCTGCTCTGGAGGAGAAAGGGGAGGTCAGAGCGTCCTCGAGACCCAGTCTCCCACGTGCAAGCTGTGTGACCTTGGGCTAGTCACCTAACCTCTCAGAGCTCGCTTTCCTCCTCTCTCTCTCTCTACACACTGGGGTTGTTGACCTGCTTGCTTGTAGGGAGTGCTCAGTGACATTGGCGGTTGTGATGCTCAGTTCACCCATCCTACTTGCCAGCAAGTGTTTCGTCTCAGAGGGACCCCAGTGGGGGTTGAGGGGGACCTGCGCCAGTACCCACTTGGGACCATCAGTCTTAGATAAGGTTCAGGCTGCAACACCCCGAGGAAGAGACAGCAGCCACCAGGCTTGGTTGAAATATCCAAGGGAACTCCTTGTCCAACAGCAGCTTGATTTCATGGAATGATGGCTTTTAAGAAGCCAACAGGAATGATCATAGTGGGGTGTTGTAGCTCTCTGGGTGTTTGCAGAGCACCCGGTGTTCACCAGCAACTCTGTGAAGGCTCAGGGAGAGGGTGGTTGGCGTGTTGGAGAAGGTGGGTACACAGTAGCGTGAGCATGCATGTGGCTGAGTGCAGACGTGCATCTGTTCACATATGCACCTGCAGCGGGAACTTGGTGAATACTTGTTTTTGTTGAGATGGAGTTTTGCTGTTGCTGCCCAGGCTGGAGTGCAATGGCACCATCTCGGCTCACTGCAACCTGTCTTCTGAGTTCAAGCAATTTTCCTGCTTTGGCCTCCCAGGTAGCTGGGATTACAGGTGTGTGCCACCACACCTGGCTAATTTTTTTTTTTTTTTTAGTAGAGACAGGGTTTCACCATGTTGGGTTAGGCTGGTCTTGAACTCCTGACCTCAAGTGATCCGCGTGCCTCAGCCTCCCATAGTGTTGGGATTACAGGTGTGAGCCATTGCGCCTGGCTGGTTGGTAGGTTTTGATTGGAAGGTTATGGAGCTCAAAGGGTGGCGGTGGTTATAAGGGTAACTGGCGGGGGGTCTCAAAGTGTGGGCCAGTTGGATCAGGCCCCTGGAGGGTGGGACGCTGCCTTGCCCAAGAGCAACAAAGTGTGTGGGAGGTGTGGTGCTGAGATCTTGAGCAGGCAGTTAGTCTAGAGCAGGGGTTGCAAACTTTCTGTACAAAGCCAGATAGTAAATATGTTAGGCTGCGTGGGCCTTACAGCCTGTTGCAACTACTCAGCTCAGATCTGGCCCATTGCCTGTATTTGCCAATAAACACAGCCACGGTCACTTTATACATTACCTACGGCTGCTTTTGCCTCATCAGGGCAGAGCCGAGTAGTTGCCACAGAGTCTGTACCCGTAGTAGTTTGCCAACCCCTGGTCTAGATCACTCCCATTTATAAAGTGATTCGGCTGTAGCAGCTTCCTGGAAGGTGGTGCTACTGGGTGATAAAGCAGCGGAATGGAGCTTGCAGAATTCAGGTGATAGGGCTTGGATCTGAGGCTGCAGCGCGTTTCATGTTGAATTGCAACGCTCGCCATTGGAGGTGGGGACGGGTGGGAGGTGACTGGATCATGAGGGCGGATCCCTCACGGGTTGGTGCTGTCCTCGAGATAGTGAGTTCTCACCAGATCTGGTTTAAAAGCATATGGCACCTCTGCCCCACACTCTCTTGTTCCTGTTTTTGTCATGTGACGCGCCTCCTTCCTTTCTGCCATAATTGGAAGGCTCCTGTGGCTTCCCCACAAGCTGAACAGGGACTGGTACCATGCTTGTACAGCCTGCAGAACCATGAGCCAGTTAAACGTCTTTTCTTATAAATGACCCTATCTCAGGAATTTCGTTGTAGCAATGCAAGAACGCCAAACACACAGAGGGTTTGCTGAGCAGAGCCACACAGCCGGAAAGTAAGTGGGGGGCCCAGGCCCGACTGTGGGACAGTCCATCCTCAGAGCTGCCCTCCTCCTGGGCCGGGACACAGCGCTGCCCCTGGCCCTTCTGGAGCTCAGGAGGGAGCCCCCTGCCGTTCCAGGTGTGGAGAGCAGCCTGCGCGTCACCTGCTGCCGCCAGATCCTACGGAGCCTTCCAGAGCACAACTATGTTGTCCTCCGTTACCTCATGGGCTTCCTGCACGCGGTGAGTGGGCAAGGGGGGGTGCTTGGGGTGAGGCCCAGTGGCATCTCCTGCCATGCTAGGCCTGCCAGGACCCGTCCCCTCCTTGTCCCAGGTCTGGGGTCATGCCCTGGTTGGGCCTAACCCCTCCCCTGGCCACCAAGGACTTCATCCAAGGCCCAGTCAAGCACCCACCCTGCTGAGGACCCCCTGCCCACTCCCATACCTGCTATCCCTTGGCCATTGCCTTCGGTATTGGAGTCCTCTGCCCCCATGTGATCTCTTGCTTGGGCTGAGTCTCTGGGAGGTGGCAGCTGCATCTACCACTGGCACAGAGCCTGAGGCCCTCACTGTGGACTGAACTGACCATTCCTGTGGAAGGGACACACCCGGAACCATGTACATTAGGTTCCTGTGACCACACAGTAGGTGGCTTAAAACAATAGAATTTACCATGTCACTCTTCTGGAGGCCAGAAGTTCAAACTCAAGGTGTACTGGGCTGCACTCCCTCCTACAGGCTGTAGAGGAGGATCGTTCCTGTCCTCTCCCAGCTCCTGGTCCCTCCCGTCTCTGCCTCCACGTGGCCCCCTGCGTCCACCTCCAGCCCCCAGACCCACGGCCCTGAATGTTTATCCCTCTCCATCTCCCCAGGCCTTTGCCTCAGACCGTGCAGGGTGCGGGCACTGCCCACTGTAGGGGAGAGGAGGGCCTGGGCAGAGCAGGCGTCACATCCCAGAGTCTGTCGGAGAATGCCACCTCTTGGTTTTACAGCAAACTATTTTTTTCTCCCTATTGTTTAATTTCTCAAAAGCCCAAAACTAAAATTTTTAGTTTTCTCCTTTCACTTTTTGAGACGGAGTCTTGCTCTGTCGCCCAGGCTGGAGTGCAGTGGCCGGATCTCAGCTCACTGCAAGCTCCGCCTCCTGGGTTCAAGTGATCTCCTGCCTCAGCCTCCCGACTAGCTGGGATTACAGGTGAGTGCCACCATGCCCGGCTGATTTTTGTATTTTTAGTAGAGATGGGATTTCTCCACGTTGGCCAGGCTGATCTTGAACTCCTGACCCCAGGTGATCCACCTGCCTCGGCCTTTTAAAAGTGCTAGGATTATAGGCGTGAGCCACCGCACCTGGCCTACTTTTTCATTGGGAGAGACTGATTTCTCTTTAGCTGCCTCCTCCACGGGCACCAATGTGAATGCACCTGGTGGGCCGTGGTGTTGCATGTTATCCCCCCACTGGCACTCGGGGGATCATGCCCTGCTTGGGCCTTGGAATACCACGCCCTGGCCACCAAAGACCTCATCCAAGGACCTCATGAGGACTCTGCAGTCTCGGCTTGAGGAGTGGCGGCCTGCAGTGGACCTGGCTGGTGCACACCTGCGAGGGGCTGTGGGGACTGGCAGGCAGGAGGCAGGCAGAGCCTAATAGGCTTCCGGCTGTCTCACTGAAGCAGGGCTTGGGCAAGTCTGAGCATTCTCGCCAGATCTGTGAGCGTGACGCCTGGCCATGCCCCCCTCCCGTTCTCTGCTGGCACTCATAGCCTCATGACGCCTGTTTCTGACTCTGAGGTTCCCCCCAGCTCTAAGCTTGTAGGGAGGTAAGAAGAGAACAGACCCTGCCCTCACCTTGGCCCACATGGCCCCCCCACCCCCCCGGCTGGCCACAAGACCTTGGGCAAGTCTTCTGTACCCTGCAGCCCCCAAGTTCCTCATCTGTAAGCTGGAGAAAGGACTCCCGCTCCTGGGGGTGTTTTAAGTGTTGGCTGAGACAGATAGGGAGCCCTTCTGGGAGGCAAGCTCTTTGTACTCTTGCCGCCCCTACGTGCTGGCTGGTCCCCATCATGCCCAGTTCGCCACCCACAGAGCAGAGGGCCAGAGAGGCCCCTAGTTCCCACCGTCTGTGCTACAGCCCGTCCCCAAGAGTGCATCTCCCCAGACGGCGCAGTGGAAGAGGAGATGGTGGGGTGTTGAGGCTGTCACAGAAAGTCAGAGCCAGAGGGTCCTCCAGGACGTCGAGGCCAAGCCTTCCTTTCATAGATAGGGTAACTGAGACTCTGAGTGGGCAGGTGGCCATACAGGGTCCCTCTACTGGCTGCTGGCTCCCAGTCCAGTGCTTCTCTCTCTACATCTGCCCCTCCCACAGTTCAGGAGGGAGTTCTAGGTCCCCACCGCCCTTGGCGTTCACTCCCCTTTTCTCATTTGTGGTTGCCTCCAGGTGTCCCAGGAGAGCATCTTCAACAAAATGAACAGCTCTAACCTGGCCTGTGTCTTTGGGCTGAATTTGATCTGGCCATCCCAGGGGTCCTCGTCCCTGAGTGCCCTTGTGCCCCTGAACCTGTTCACGGAGCTGCTGATCGAGTACTATGAAAAGATATTCAGCGCCCCGGAGGCATCTGGGGAGCACAGCCTGGCACCGCCGCAACAGGGGAGCAGGGCAGCCCCTTTGCAGGAGGCTGTGCCGCGGACACGAGCCACCGGCCTCACACCTACCATACCTCCGAGTCCCCTGACGGTGGCCAGAAGACGGCTCTAGTGTTGCAAACATTCTGTGTATTTCAAGCTACCTCCCACCCCTGTCTGTGCACTGTGTGTTCTGTAAACTTGCCATCTGTAAAAATAACCCGGCCTTAGATGAACTCACAACCTTCTAATGAAAACTCCATGCCTCTGGTCCCTGGACTCCGCCATGGTTCCTGAGCTGTGGACCGGGCTAGAGTAATGCATTTGTTAAGATGGATGTTTTGAATCGTAACTCAATGCGGTTTAACTGAAAACGGGAATGGAGTGGCTAGGGGCTCGCCCTGCTGCTGCCGCCACGCTGCTGGGTAACACACCGCCCAAGCCCAGTCACTGAAAGCAGCTGCTCCTCATTATTGCCCATGTGTCAGTAGGTCAGCTGGGTGGGTCTGTTCTCCTGCAGGTGTGCCAAGTCCTTCCAATGGCTGAACAAGGGCACATTCTCATAACATAGGCCCAGGCACACACACAAGCGCTACTGCAGTTTTCATGCTTTGACTGGCGTCCTGTATGCTCACATCCCACTGGCCAAAGCAAGCCTGGTGGCCAAGGCCAGAGTCACTGTGGGAGGGCCCTGCAAAGAGGTGGATATGGGGAGGGTGAAGAATTGGGAATAAAGCAGCCAAGCTGCCCAAGGGCTCTGGGGTGCGACAGGACTCTGCAATCAGGCAGGCTGACTCCTCTGGCTAGATGGGTCCTGTGCGTCCATCAAAGATGGCAGAGGATACAACTCTTAGTGTCACCTTCCCCGCAAAAAAGCCCTAGCTTCACTGTGATTGGACAAGGTTAGGTCACATGCTCACCTTGGACCCATCGCTGCAGCCAGGGAAGGCTCTGATTGGCTTAGGCCTGAGTCCTGTGCCCCGCCCCCGGGGCCGGGATGAAGCCCCACCGAGACCTAGCAGGGGGGGAGGAGTGACAGCCTCTGCAGGGGATTACTCTCGAGCCCCACGCTGCTGTCTCCCCAGCTCTTGCTGCAGGGAGAAGCGGGGGAGGTTTGGGGGAGCAAACAGAAGTCCCCTCCGCAGAGCCCCCGTGGCGGGCCCCCCGTGCCTGCATGGGGTGTTGACCTAGTTGCGCCGGGACCCCTGTACCCGTTCGGATGCTTGGGGGAATCACTGGCAGCCCCAGGCCAAACCCACGCCCAGGGCTCTGCTCTGAACTTGGAGGGTGAGGTCTCCTCGCTGGCCTCCTCCCTTTTCACTTGCATCTTCCTATTATTCTCCAGCCCCTTGTCTGCCGCTGTGTTTTCTACCCTGCTAGTGCTTGCTGTCCTTAAGGGAGGGGCCTGTGTGGCTGCCAAGCGACCCCCCACACCTATCGGTGCACGGCGGGCACCTCGCACTCCAGGGCAAGCTGGGCCTGCAAGCCAGACAGGGTTCAGCTTTCTTCCAACCAGCCTCGGACCCCCAATTCCGTCTGATGTCCAGGTGGCACCACCATGCCCCTGAGGCCCAGCTATTCCTTTACCAAAGGCGTGGATCCTATTACAGTTTCTTGAAGCTGCTTCTGGGCAGAGGAGATGGGGCTGAGTCACGAGGGTGCCAGGCTGGTGGGAGCCACTGGCTGAATCCATTTTCCTTCTGGGAGAGGAAGGCTCAGTGGCAGCTCCGTGGTGGGGGGGCTGAGCTGGCCCTGCCTTCAGAACATGGATGGTGCAGGGTCACGGGCATGGGGACAGGGATAGGGAGGGTTGCAGAGTGGCTGTCACGCCCCCGGTAAGCCTCATGCCATCCCAGCTAGGGATGGAGTCCCCAAATGACACCCCTCTTTGCCCAAGCTCATAACCTACCTGAGTCACACGGTGTGTTACTGATGGCGAATCCCTGAGTTCTGCAGCAGCCTCTATCTTTGCCTCCTCAGAAGAAAGCGTTCCACTGGGCTCGATGACTCATGCCTATAATCCCAGCACTTTGGGAGGCCCAGGCAGGTGCATCACCTTAAGGGAGGGGACTACCCCTCATATTGTCTAATGCCCAATTTCTGCCTCCAAAGAAAGAAGTAAAAACTAAAAGGCAGAAATGAAATCCACAGGCAGACAGCCCGGCGCCACACCCTGGGCCTGGTAGTTAAAGATCAACCCCTGACCTAATCGGTTATGCTATCTATAGATTACAGACATTGTATAGAAATGCACTGTGCAAATCCCTATCCTGTTTTGTTCTGATCTAATTACCAGTACATGCAGCCCCCAGTCACGTACCCCCCGCTTGCTCAATCAATCACGACCCCTCACACACACCCCCTTAGAGTTGTGAGCCCTTAAAAGGACAGTAATTGCTTACTTCGGGAGCTCGGCACTTATAAACCCTTTCCTTCTACAACTCGGAGTCTGAGGAGTTTTGTCGGCTGCTCGTCCTGCTACATTCCTTGGTTCTCTGACCAGGAAGCGAGGTGATTGGTGATGGTCAAGGCAGTTCCTTAGGCGGCTTAAGCCTGCCCTGTGGAACATCCCTGCCGGGGACTCCGACCAGCCCGAGCAACGCGGATCCTGAGAGCACTCCTGGGTAGGCATTTGCCCCGGTGGGACGCCTCGCCAGAGCAGTGTGTGGCAGTGTGTGGCAGGCCCCCGTGGAGGAGCAACACAGTGGCTGAACACCGGGAAGGAACGGGCACTCGGAGTCTGAACATCTAAAACTTGTTAAGACTAGTCTTTGAAACTTGCCCACTCCATCTGAGTGGAAGTGTGGCCTGATCACCCACGGTGTGCCTGTATCAGCACTTTGGTTTCTGTTTTTGACTTGACTTGGATTGCTTGATACTTTGGTTTTGGTTTTGACCTGGCTTGGATTTCTGGGTACTCTGATTTTGGTTTTGATTTTAGTTTGGTGTAAACTACAAAAGTGTGTGTGTGCCCTTTTTACCTGTTCTTTGTTTTGTGGTGTGCGTGTGGTGTGAGCGTGGTGTTTTGTCTCAAGGAAACATGGGTGAGGCACAGAGTAAGCCCACTCCACTAGGAACTATGTTGAAAATTTTCAGAAAAAAAAAAAAGGATATAAGGGAGACTGGAGTACTATGACAGCAAGAAAACTTAAAACTTTGTGTAAGATAGACTGGCCAGCATTAGAGGTAGGTTGGCCATTAGAAGGAAGCCTTGACAGGTCCCTTGTTTCAAAGGTATGGCACAAGGTAACTGTAAGCGAGGGAACCCAGACCAGCTTGTTTTAGATCCCCCGCCCCCGACACATGGTAGTTTAGAGAACAGCAGCATAAGCGGCTGGCAGAGGCAAGGAAAGACCAGCAGAGAGAGAGAAAGGAAAGAGACAGAGAGGAAAAGAGGCAAAGAGAGAGAGAGGAAGAGACAGAACAAGAGACAAAGAGGGAGTCAAGGAGAGAGGCAGAGAGACAGAGGAAGAAACAGAGGCAAAAGGAAAGTCAGAGAGAGAGAGAGAGAGAGAGAGAGAGAGAGAGAGAGACAAAGTTAAAGAGATAAAGAGATATACAAGTAGTTAAGAAAAAAAAAAGTGTACCCTGTTCCTTTAAAAGCCATCATACCAATCCTAATTTGGACAAAACAAGGTCTTATTAATAGCAAACGATAATTAAAATCCCAAACTTACAAGGTTTTTTTTTTTTTTTTTTTTTTTTTTGAGACGGAGTCTCGCTCTGTCACCCAGGCTGGAGTGCAGTGGCCGGATCTCAGCTCACTGCAAGCTCCTCCTCTCGGGTTCACGCCATTCTCCTGCCTCAGCCTCCCGAGTAGCTGGGACTACAGGCGCCCGCCACCTCGCCCGGCTAGTTTTTTGTATTTTTTAGTAGAGACGGGGTTTCACCGTGTTAGCCAGGATGGTCTCGATCTCCTGACCTCATGATCCGCCCGTCTCGGCCTCCCAAAGTGCTGGGATTACAGGCTTGAGCCACCGCGCCCGGCCAAGGTTTTCAACAAAAGTAAAGTTTGCTAAAAGTTAACAGTGTAACATGGATTATAGTAACTTCTAATCTTGTGGCCTTAGACATTCTAGTCCACAGGCATTTAAAAAAAAAGAAAAGATTCGCTTTGGAAAAGAATGGTTATGATCTTTGGAAAAAAAAAAAAAGAAAAAAGGGGGGGCGAAATTTATATAAAAAGAGTGTTATATGGTAAATTCTTGTCCTGAAATAAATTAACTGGTTGTTTAAAGAAAGAAATGTTTGTAATAAGTCAGAAAGTTAAGGCATGTCAAAAAAAATTGCTTGTAAAAGTCGTGAAAGAAAAAAAGGTTATAAAAAAAGTTTGTTAAAAAAAAGAATTTATGCAAAAAATGTTGTATAATTTAAAAGTAACTAGGCCTAGGCCTGGCATGGTGGCTCATGCCTGTAATCCCAGCACTTTGGGAGGCCGAGACGGGCAGATCACGAGGTCAGGAGATCGAGACCATCCTGGCTAACACAGTGAAACCCTGTCTCTACTGAAAATACAAAAATTACCCTGGTGCGGTGGCGGGTGCCTGTAGTCCCAGCTACTTGGGAGGCTGAGGCAGGAGAATGGCGTGAACCCGGGAGGCAGAGCTTGCAGTGAGATTGCGCCACTGCACTCTAGCCTGGGCAACAGAGCAAGATTCCGTCTCAAAAAAAAAAAAAAAAAAGCAACTAGGCCTCCTGAATGTAAAACTATTGAAAACAAAAACAAAAACAGTTTATGTGCAAGGTGTATAAGAAAAGCAAAATATACCTTTGGTAAAATGATTATAAAGAAGCATAAGAATGTACATTCTTACCTACATTAAAAAGTTAAAAATTGAGCCCGGGCGCAGTGGCTCATGCCTGTAATCCCAGCACTTTGGACCGAGCGGGGATCAAAGGTCAGGAGATCGAGACATCTGGCTAACACGGTAAACCCGTCTTACTAAAATACAAAAAAAAATTAGCGGGCGGATGGCGGGCACCTGTAGTCCCAGCTACTCAGGAGGCTGAGGCAGGAGAATGGGGTCCGGGGCGGGCTTGCAGTGAGCGAGATCGCGCCACTGTACTCCAGCCTGGGCGACAGAGCGAGACTCCGTCTCAAAAAAAAAAAAAAAAAAAAAAAGTTAAAAATGACTGTTTTGAAGGTTTAAGCAAGGTTTAAAATGTTAATTGTAAAGAACATTCTGTGTATAAACATATTAGCTAAAGTTAAAGAAGTTATCATCCAGTTTTTCTGTGAAATGGACATTCAAGTAAAAGCATAACAGGTTTTTCTTAAAGCACCAAACTGCTCTTCAGCAAAAATTATAAAAGGTTAAAAAGAGTCTATAAAATCTTACCTTATGGTCAAACATTAAAAATTAAATATGTCTACAAGGTTTTATTAAAATTAGGTTTAACATTAGTAACACACTAATATAAAGTTTAGCTTATCTGGTATAAAAATCATATGAGAAGCATTGTTAAATGTAAAATGGTATTTGGCTTTCTTTGGTTTAAAAACTAATAAAATAGGTGCAAAAGGAAATTTCTCAGTAAAAAGGCACTAAGGACTATAAAGTCCACTGTTAAGGTCCCCACATTTAAAACAAAAGGTCAATTTCTTAAAAATTATATACTTGGTTTATCTTCCACTTTCCTTTCTCGCAAAACAAAACAAAACCAAAGTCTTTTAGCACATGTACCACCCCTAGAATTTCCAGTAAACCAGCACCAGCCTGAAGATCACGTTCTCATCGAAAGGTGGAAAGAAGAAAAACTTGAGCCAACCTGGGAAGGACCCTACCTTGTGCTGCTAACCACTAACACTGCTGTTCGTATAGCAAAAAAAAAAAAAAAAAAAAAAAAAAAGATGGACTCATCACACCTGAGTCAAGAAAGTGCCACCCCCTCCAGAGTCGTGGGCCATAGTCCCAGGGGAAAACCCTACCAAACTAAAGCTAAGAAAAATTTAACTCTTAATCTATTATATTACTCTTTCTTCTTTCCTCATTCTATTGCTGACCATCTAGTTATTAATATAACCAAGTCAATTTCCTCTCAAACTATTGCATTTAATGCTTGCCTTGTTATACCCTGTGAGGACTTGCCAAGTCAAAGACAGCTTTCTCCTTCAGAAAAGTACTTCTGTCCCTCCGGACTCTCTTCAGACTGGGCATTAGTAAACTAGGACCATTTAATCCAGGGAGATTTCGATAAAGACCCCAGTGCCAACCAGGAGTTTTGCCCCCCGATGTAGGGCTTTTATGCCATAGTTGGTCCAACGTTCTGTGGACCACTAAAGAGAAAATGGACTGCCCCAACTGGTTTTGTAATTTCCCTAAAACCATACATTCATTTTACTAGAGGATCATAGAAGTTAAAGACTTAAAACAAACTTTAGCAATTAAGACAGGATACCAAGATGCAAATGCCTGGTTAAAATGAATCAAATATTCCATCTGCACATTAAACAAAAGCAATTGTTATGCTTTACACATGGCAGGCCAGAGGCCCAGACTGTCCCCCCTTCCACTAAGGTGGTCCTCCAGTCGACCAGGCGTAGGCTGCATGGTAGCTCTTTTCCAGGATTCTACAGCCTGGAGTAGTAAGTCAGGCCAAGCTCTGTCTGCTATATCCCCAAGTCCCTGTGGGTCAGCCCCAGAGGGCTATCCAGCTTCCATCCCCCAACACTAAGTTCACTTCGTGTCTCTCATGACAGGGAGGAAACTTAGCATTCCTTGGAGACCTGAAAGGATGCAGTGAGCTTAAGAATTTTCAAGAGCTTATCAATCAGTCAGCCCTTGTTCATCCCTGAGCGGATGTGTGGTAGTATTATGGTGGACCTTTACTGGGCACTCTGCTGAATAACTGGAGTGGCACTTGTACTTTAGTCCAATTGGCTATCCCTTTCACCCTGGCATTTCATCTACCAGAAGGAAAAAAAATATAAGACATCATAAAGTGAGAGAAAGCCCCTTATGAGTTTTTCAACTCTCATGTCTATTTAGATGCAACTGGAGTCCCACGAGGAATACTAGATCCATTTAAAGCTTGAAATCAAATAGCTGCAGGATTTAAGTCAATGTCTTAGTAGGTGACAGTTAATAAAAATGTAGATTAGATAAACTACATCTATTACAACCAACAGCAATGAGCTTTTCTTTTTTTTTTTTTTTTTTTTTGAGACGGAGTCTGCTCTGTCGCCAGGCTGGAGTGCAGTGGCATCTCAGCTCACTGCAAGCTCCCCTCCCGGGTTCACGCCATTCTCCTGCCTCAGCCTCCCGAGTACTGGACTACAGGCGCCCCACCTCGCCCTAGTTTTTGTATTTTTAGTAGAGCGGGTTTCACCGTGTTAGCCAGATGGTCTCGATCTCCTGACCTCGTGATCTGCCCATCTCGCCTCCCAAGTGCGGGATACAGGCTGAGCCACCGCCCGCCAGCAATGAGCTTTTCATGA